TAATCTTTTTAGAGCTGCCATTCGAGCAGATATTTTTCTTATCAAACCATTTGTCGTAGCCACTAGTTGCGGCTGTGATGCCATTTGGTTACTAGCAGCTTCACCAACGTTGTCTGCTGCTTTGATCCGAAGGGCTTCTGTCTTGAATATTTCACTGTATTCATTTGTTAGTTCTCTTATTTTCTCGTAATAGGAAGATGTAAAATACTCATCATCTGTCGGTTGATCGATGAGAGTTCTGAGCATTGTGTCGTTTGTTCAAACTGCTTTCAAGCAACATCAAACCGAGGAAATCTTTCACTGTAGTATGCTGATGTTTGCTTGCGTTCAGCCGAATCCTTTTTGAAGTTCCTGATGATTCGCTGAATCTCTTCGCCCTTTTCTTTTTGGGCATCTATGAGTTCATTAAGAGTTGTCATTGATGATTTGTAGTTTTTTGCCAAATGTGCTTAAAAATGTTCTTCGAATGCTGAATGCTGAAACTTAACCGCTGAGTGTTGATTGTTGACTGTTGCTGCGTCAAACCAGTCCTGTGCTGCTGTCCGTTTCACGGGGTCACCAAAATGTACGGTCACCAAACGATACTCCAACACCGACATTCCCAACAATCACGTCGGGGTCACCAAAATGTACGATCACACCGAAATGTATGATCACACGCTGAATCAAAATTTGAAATTAACTGTTTGCAAGTACTGAACTCTTAAATCCAGTACTTATGTTGATTTATTTGAACACGAGAACCACTGAACACTTGAACCCAGTGATTTGACGATTGTCCTAAATTATCCTGATTACTGAACACTTGAATCCAGTAGGCAGGTGCTTATATGGTGTAAATTTGGTACTTGAACCAACTCTACAAGCTATTAGAACGAACAAAAAAGAATCGATAACGAATGTGGCTTCGCATCAATTGAATTGTCAAAAATTCAATTGTGCCTTTTATTTAAAATTGATAATTAATTTACAACAAATAAATTAACTAAAATAACCTTGACCATGCATGCCAAACAATGAACTTATTGCAAACTGCAAGAGTGCATTTTCTTGCAGACGAAATTTGACGCTTTTGTTTTCATGTGCCACAGAAGCGTATGACGTATTTTGGGCATTGCATTGACAACGTTATTTTTTACACCAAATATATTTAACACAATTATTACAATACAAATAATAATAACAAATTTTTCATACAAAATTAATAAAAACAAAATATTCATATATAATAATATAAAATAATATAAACAAATATTCAACAGTTTTTTTTTTAAATATTTTAAGTCTAAATATGGTTTCCATTTGTAATAAAACATTCTTGATCTGAACGCCTTATCATTAGGAAAGACATCATTATTTGATAATACAATTATTGGAGTTCTTAAAGTAACTGCATCATTACAATATTTTATTTTCGCTGATACAGTATCACCTCGAAATAACATTTTTAAAGTTTCTGTTGCAGATGATTCTAATATTGGCTCATTCCATAAAATAATTCTTCTATCAACACATTCCATTAATGGAAAATTGCAATATCTATTAAAATTACCTACTTGTCCAAAATTTAAACAATAATGAATAAAAGCATCAAAAAAATAGTTTTTACCAGCATTTGGTGGACTTAAAATAAACATAGTATTTTTTTTTGGTATTATTTTATCAATTACACAATATAAATTGTTTAAAAATTTTTCAATTTCTTCCATATTATTATAAAATTGAAATTTTAATAAATTTTCTAAAACTTCAACGGATTCATTAATATTATAATAATAATTTGATACATTTGTTATAGAAGCATTAAATATTAAATTTTGTGGTTCTACAGTACTTAAATACAAATATAATTCATTAAAATTGAAATTATTAATATAATTATGAATTATTCTAATACAATTTTTAATTAAAATAGAATTAATATCGCAGAAACGAAATTCAGATTCTAACCAAACTGACGTATTTAATATGTGCTGAATTGGTGCTGTAGGATGTTGCTTTAAGAAATTTATTATTTTGTCACCCTTTCCTCTTTTTCTGTTCCGGGAATGTTGTTGATCTGTTTCGAAGCAGCTAGTAACAGTTTCATTACTAATTGATAATTGGGATCCAACGGAGATTGTAGAATGAACGTCGATCTGTAGTTGGCTTCCTTCCACCATTCCGTTTTCGGCTTCTTGCAAATCTTGGAAAAATCAAACAAATCCAACTTCACTACCTGGAAACCACGTTCTCTCGGCGAAGTTGACGTACAAGTATACCCTTTCATCTTTTTGCAAATAGACTGCGAGATAGAGCCAATGCTCGATCGAAAACTTCCAGCTGAAAAAGACTCGTCGAGCAAATCTTCTATTGATTTGTTGTCGTTCAAGATATTTGGTAAATGAACATCTGCAGGAATTGTTGGAATAACTGCAGTCGTGGACAACGTGAATATGGTCTGCATGGTGCGAGATGAGCAAGATGGTCCCTGAAAATTTTCTGCATAACTGTTCAGGATCCAATCCGATGTTTTTATAGTTATGGTCGCTTCGGTAAATGTTGTGGACGATTCGAGACCTAAGAAACTTTGTACTAAATATGTTAAAGAGCACTTTCCTAATTCTTTCTTTTGGCCCATCATTATTTTCTGAATTGATTGAGTGTAACCCATCAATGTATAAATAACTCTTTTCGCTTCGTATTGTTTCGCCTTCAGTGCCAAAGGGATCATCATTTCCATGGTTGTCACACAATGAAGTACATAAATTTATAAATATTTAATTATTTTATATATTATATTATTTTAGTTTATTATTATCGCTTAAAACCTTATCACCTAAATTCCCAGAATAATGTACAAGGGTAAAAATACATTATATTAATATAGCAAGCATTGTAACATTTGAGCATCCGTATCTAATTATAACAATAAATATATTTATAGAAACAATAGGAGGAAAATCCCTAGTGTTGGGACTTCCGTCCTTTTTTAACCTTTTTTACAAACAATAACAAAATGTAATACAGTCCATTAAAATAATAACCTTGATGTAAAATTAATCTTAAGATATTTTTGTATAAATACAGAACGTTGTTTTAAATAAAATCAGTACTTTACAAATACTCAAACGGTTCAGTTGTTTTAATTCTGAACATTTGGTCCTTCGAGCCTTAGCGTTTTCCTCACCAGTGGTAAGAAGACCTAAGGATATTAAAAAAAAAATCACCAAAACTTTATATTGGTGCGAAATATTCCTTCAAGAAGAAGAAATATTTCAACAAAAAAAAAAGCAGACAGAAGATTTGTTTGTTTGGTATCCTCCCGATACCATAAACAGCGCTTAGTGGCCGAAGTGCTGCAGCGAAGGAAGCCGTGCATCATTGAAGAGCAGCGGCAGAGAAAAAAAAAATATACATTTAGTTAGAAAAATTGTAAGGTCGGAGCGGCGTTTTACTAACGCATTCTGATCAGGGTCGGAGGCGTTAATCGCTATAGACAACAATAGGATTTAAAAAATTGTAATATTAGGTAGAAATAGGGTCAATCCAACGGGAGTAACAGCGGCAGTGACCTTTTACTAATAGAAAGCGGCAGCTACGACACGACGGCAGCTAAGAGACAGCGGCAGCCAAAAAGACAGCGGCAGCTACGACACGACGGCAGCTAAGAGACAGCGGCAGCCAATAGACAGCGGCAGCTATCCACCTCAGAAGACGATTAAAAATTAAAATACTCGAAAAAGAAGATTTTATACAAAAAAAAAAAAACACAACAAATATGGCACAAAAACTAAAGCTTTATGAAGCGCAAAAAAAGCTAGGAGAAGAAATAATAACTGCAGTAGGAAAAATTAAAGAAAAGGGACTACGTAAGACAGCCGATAAAATAGAAAAGGTGGAAAAGAACTGGAAAAAATTTCAGGTAAACCACGAAGAACTATTAAAAGAAGGCTCAGAAACAGATGAGTACTTTAAAGAATGTTGGTTCGATACAATCCAAAAGTATTATAAAAAGATGTTAGAAACCGATAATACCACTGAAACAACGGAAAAAGTCAACAAAGAAGAAAATGAAGCGGATAAAATATCAGAAGACAATGATATAACTATAGTTGACACTAAAAAAGAGGTTCAAAAAATCAGTAAATTAGAAACCAGGTTAATGAGGCTGATTGAAGACTTGCAAGAAGATTTAGATGCAATGTTAGAAATTCATTACAACAACGAACTTCAAGTACCAGATTGGCGAATACAAGAATTAAAAAAACAACAAAAAAATATAGAGATTATATATAATGACACACTGGAAATAAGTAAAAATGGCAGAACAACATATAAACAGATCAATACCCAACTAAACATTGTACTTTATCAATTAAATGAAAGTAAAAAAAAAGCAGAACTAGTGGTAAAAAATGAATTAGAGCCGGTAAAGCTAGAACCATTCAAGATGCCGACGTTCTACGGAGATGTAAAAGAGTGGAACACATTTTCTAATTTGTTTCATGAAGCTATACATATAAGAGATATACCAGATTCCGAAAAAATGTATAGATTAAAGGCAGTAGTAAAAGGTGAAGCTGGCAGATTAATCCAACATATGAATGTATCTGAGGCTAATTATAAAACAGCCTGGGAAATGCTACAAAAAAGATACAATAACAGAAGGTGGTTATTTAGAACACAGGTAGATCAATTACTCGACCAACCATCTACAACAGTAGGGGATGCTGAAAGTATAAGGCAGCTAACAGACACAACAAACGAATGCATTAATACAATAAAAGGAATGGGTATCGACCTTAATAATGCAGAACCTTTAATAGCACGAATAATATTAAGAAAGCTGGACAAAAAAAGCTTAAGGATGTACGAGTTAGGTGCCAAAAATCCAACTGAAATACAAAGCTTAGATGAGGTACAAAAATTTTTAGAACATCAATTTCAAGCGCTAGATGCTATGAAAAATAAAGAAACAGACGATAGAAAGATAAATTATCCGAAGAAAATATGTGCGTACTGTAATAAGGCGGGACATACAACAAACGAATGCAGAAAATTTTCAGCAATATCAAATATTGAAAGACGATTACCAGTAAATCAGCAAATAAATACATCTATAAACTTTAGCTGTTCATTTTGTAGAAAACAGGGCCACAAAATATACAGCTGCTCATCATTGCCTATCAGCAATAAAAGAGCATTTCTAAACGCCAACGACACGTGTAAAATTTGCCTGAGCCATAAAAATCAAGACAAATGCATATCAAAGTACATATGTAAGATATGTAATAGTAGAGATCATCATACCTTGCTACATAATGAGCATCAACAAGAAAAAAAGGATAAATCAACAAAAACTAAGGTGATCGCAGTAACAAAAAAAGATGAAAGCGAAGTAGTATTACTACCAACAGCAATAGTTAAAGGGAAAACAATTAGAGGAGAATATAAAGAACTACATGCGCTTATAGACCAAGGATCCCAAGCATCAATGATATCAGAAGAAGCTGTTCATATCTTAGGTTTACAAAAAGTAAAAACCGATATTAAATTAACTGGGCTTGCTGAAACTTCAATAGGGCAAGCAAATTCAAAGGTCATAATGGAAATAAAATCTAAAATTAATAATATAAATATGAAAGAAGAGTTTAAAGTCATGAACAAGCTAATTAGACCATTGCCAGAAAAGACAATAGACTACAATAAGAATCAGTGGAAAAGCTACAACTTAGCAGATCCTGAATTCATGAAAACAAAACAAATCGACTTAATAATAGGCAGTGACATTATCCCGAAAATAATAAAGAAAGGGTTCAAGAAAATTAATGGAATTATCGCCCAAGAAACAATATTTGGATGGATAATATCAGGCAAAGTATTAAAGAAACCAGCAAAAAGAAGTAAAGTAACAATTACAACAAAAAACATAGAAAAGTTTTGGGAACTAGAAGAAGCAGATAACACAATCAATGAAAAAACAGCAGAAGATGAAATATGTATGCAATTTTATGATGACACCACTAAAATAGACGGCGACAAAAAATTTATAGTGAAACTTCCATTAGAAAAAGATGCCACGCTAGGTGAATCTAGAAATCAAGCAATGGCAAGATTCCTAAACCAAGAGAAAAAAATGAGTAATGAGAAAAGAACTGAATACATAAAATTCATGCAAAAATATGAGCAGAAAGGACATATGAAAAAAGTAAAAGATAATACAATAGGAAAATATTACCTACCGCATCAAGCAGTGATAAGAGAATCAAGTCGCACTACAAAACTAAGAGTAGTATTCGATGCATCAGCAAAATCGACAAATGGAAAAAGCTTGAACGATATAATGATGACGGGGCCAAGATTACAGCAGGATATATTTGATATATTAATGAAATGGCGATTATGGAAATTCGTCGCTTCAGCCGATGTAGAAAAAATGTTCAGGCAAATAAAAATTGCACGAGAAGACCAAGATTATCAAAGAATCTTATGGAGAGAAAATGCAAGGGAAAAAATTATGGAATATAGATTAACAACAGTTACATATGGAACCGCAGCTGCACCTTTTCTAGCAGTACGAACATTACATCAAATTGCTGATGAATCAGAAGAAAATAAAGATATAAAAAATAGCATAAAAAAAGAATTCTACATGGATGACTTAATGACAGGAGCTAATTCAATATCAGAATGCAGGCATAAAATAAATAAAATTAATAAAACTTTAAGTCTTAGAGGATTCCAGCTCAGGAAATGGATGTCAAATCATGAATCTATACTGGAAGAACTACCAGATGACAACGAGATTGTTAATGAATTAACACCTAAGGAAATGAATTGACAGCACTTAAACTGTAACTCTTTAATTGAAAGTTGAGTTTTCAGCACATAAACTGAAACTCTGGAAATGAAAATGAGAGATCGAATATTGGTTTCAATCTGAATTTTATTAAATTAAATTTTTCCTTAAATACTAAATTATTACAAATTATTACAATAACAATATCTAAATTTTATTCTTTTCCTTTACCGTCTTCTTGCCTAAAGTGCAAGCTCAGCATATATTATGCAACCAAATTCTTTGTTGTGTCTAGCAACCAAGAATTAATGCCAATGCACTGGCCTTGATATATGTTACATATTCAAAGTTCAGTGCCACTGCACTTAACAAAAAATATAATGCAAATATTCAAGTTCAGTGCCACTGCATTTTACCAATTAAATAATGCAAAGGAAAGTCAAAATTTGGATATTGCTAACATCAGCATATATGTTCAAATATTACAAATATTGTACAATAATAACAATAGTAATAATAATAATATTTTACAATAATAATAATGTGTGAACATGCTGCCCGCCTTGAATTGACAACATCAATTCTAATTATTGGAAGCTGCAAGTCAACATGCTGTATCCTCGGTCATCTGCTGATGTCG